TTGATTGCTTTCCGCTTTTTTTGCCTTTGCTTATTTATAAACCCCAATCCATGCCTTAAATTATAAACTAACAAGTTTCCATTTCTTTCCGCTTCGACGATTTTCAGTTTTGCAAGTCTGCAGCACCGCAACCGTCAATTCCGACCAAAAAATCAGTTTGTGTTAGAAAAACTTGGAACTGATATTAGAAAAAGAAATAGAAAGCAAGATGAAGTAGAAATTCATAAGAAAATTACCGCGTATTCAGAAGAGAAACTCCTATAATAACAATAAACTGAAAACAACTGAGAGCTCAAAGCAAAGAAGTTTTTGTTGTTTATAGCAGACTGAACACCAAATAAAAAAAAAAAAAACTTAAACTCCATTAGACAAATAAAGTGACTAGAGAGGAGAAGGAAAAATAGACAAAATAAACTCATTACAATGCCAAAAAAGATATTTTATTAAAACTCGAAACACTGCAAATCATAGTTACGAGGCGGTTTTTACAATATTTTGGACCTGATTCAAATTAGTAGCACCCAATGTTTTTACAAAGCCTCTAGATCAACATGAATGATATCTGGATGTTTTGTTGTTATTTCTGCTTCAATTCTGTCGACTTCTTCACCCAATTTGTCGATTATTTTCTCTCCGTGCTCAGTCATAAACGCTCGCAAACTATCTTCGTCACTTACAGCCCTTGCTTCCTATAAATTAAAACCAAAATTTCAACTGTACTCTTCCTGCTGAAATCTTTTTTGACAATTCACCTGTAAGAACGTCTGAGTAAACTTTAACCAATATAGCTAATAGTTTCAGGACGATAACCCTGGGAACGTTTGCCGGAAGACGTTTAAAATAGTAATGAGAGGAATCTGAGGAAGAAACGTCATCCCAAAAAGTCGAATTTTCAACTGTTTTTCAAAGTTTGTAATGAATGCCTTCGAAATAAATTTATTCTTTAAAGCTAATAAAATGATGTAGTACTGTTTAACTTTAAAAATCAAATAATGTTTCTGATTTTGAAAACCAAAATTCTAAAGAAAGTATACTGACCAGGGCCGAAAACGAAGTTCTAGTGATTGTGGACAACTCTTTCTATAAAACAATTAAATTTTTCGTTAACAAAAAGAATGTTTATAAGTTCTTCATATGCTAACACCTGCAAAAATTCAACAACTTCAATTCACCTTCCAAACAAGATACCTCAACAAATAGCAGGACACCTCCTCTCAAAACGTGTTCCTCAAAAAGTTTTTGGAAGCTTAAACAGAAGAACATCATTTACGATCCACACACATAAGGCTCAGTTAACAGCAAGTGAAACCACACACATCTTCGGACCAAGAGGAATTAATCGCCCCCCACAACAATGCGGTGCAAATTACTTCAAATTTCTAATCTCGGTAAGTTTAAGAAATTATTTTTTGATATGAGAACCTTTCGAATTATACTGCAAAAAAAAGGCTTCAAAAACAATTGATAAAGGTTGAAAAAAATTAGAAGTTAAATTGCGGAATACTCAACAATAAAGAATTTCTCATGAAAGTCATCTTAAAACAACTGAAACCTTACTTCATAAATGAAACTCCACATTCGGCCTTTTGAAAGCCTTTTTACAGCAGACCAGGGACAGTGCTGGGTAGATAATTTAAATAAAAACTTTCATTTTAAAAAACTATATTGCGCACACCTGAATCATGCTTTGGATATTCCGAGATTCAGAGATATACTTGTCTGTAATGGCACGCCCGTCAAAGTTCAACTCGGCCTTAAAACGTGACTGTTCCACACCAAGAGCCGTAGCTTTAACGTCATGCACAGATCTAAAGTACGATAATAAAGAATATTGAACCTCAGGAGCCAAAAACCTACACTACTCACCTTATCATAGGGTCATTTTCAAGACGACAAATTATGTCATCTGTAATGCGTTTGGGCAATGAACGACCAACGAGATGTGCTGCATTATTTCTAATGATGAAACTCGCAACAGTTCCCAAAAGACAGCCAATCATAATTGACCCAATGCAATCAGGAATGCATGAGTTCAGAAATGAGCTTAAAGAAACTGCTGTAAAAGCGATAGCCACACCCGTAACTGACGCCGTATCTTCCAACAAAACCACATTTAAACTTGGATCACCACTAGTTCTAACTGAAACAATATTTTTTGAAAACCCAAAAATAATATATATGCTATAAACTCCAAGTCTTCACTGAACTTCCTCACGTAAGCAAGTTTTAAACTAATGAAGAAGAACAGGGTAAATTAATAAATGACTAGGAAATAGTTTCCTACTACATAAACACTAAAATCCAAACCCTGACCATAATTGAAGATCGACATTTTTGCCAGTGCAGCTTTTCTACGAACTTCTCTGAAGGCTATTGAAGCTGAACAACCTTGAAAAACAAATGACATGCTCAACGCATAATAGGCCTGAAATATATACCAAAAAGCATAAAAAAAGAAAGCTAAGCTCAAATTAAAAATAACTCCTCGATCGATTGCCCTAAAAACTCACATATGTTAACGGCACGAGTTCAACAGAATGTAATAGACCACTTATACCATGATACACAGATAAACCACAACCAAATGACAAGATTCCACAACCACTAATTAATGACGCTACATAACGCATATTTCCATACCCGTAAGGAAAATTAAGGTCCGGATTTTTTTGAGAGAATCGAATACCCATTAATAAAATTAACTGATTTACAGTATCCATTGTGCTGTGTATACCCTCCGCAAAAAGACTTTTAGAGCCTGAAAAAACTAATGGAATTCAATAGGTGTATATAAAATCAACTCATAATTTTTTTCTGTTTTCTACGCGTGAGTAACTTTATAAAATCAATTTTACTAGAAAACGAGTTACAATACACTATACAGAACACAAAAGTTAAAGAGAAATCGTCAAGAGAACTTACCAGTCAAATATGCAGCTGCAAACTTGCCAATCACATCACAAAAATTCAAACAAAATGCAATCAGCACAACTCGGTTAGCACTCTAGTAATGAAACCCATGTATTTAAGCTTTTGCTAATTCCGTAAGTGAACAGTGCAGATAAAAATGAAAACAAAGATTTACTTTAGTTATTTTATTACGTGCTTCAATACGCATACGCAACCTCATACGCTCAGCATCTGAAAGTTTGCTGGTGCCAAGACCAATAAAAGTTCGCGTCTTAGAAACAGAGTTCCAATCATTTCCATGAACCTATAAGCAAATAAAACTCACAATAAAAATTAAAAACGTTAGGACACTTTGCTGGACTGCAGACCTTACGGGCTTTATCTTCCACGTCTCCAACATTGTAGAATGACAAGTTATAAGGGAAGGCTTTTTGCGCATAATGTGGCAGTTCCGCTAAGTGCTGCTGAGTGAGATCATATATAGCCATAGCTCGCGCCTTAAAAATTTGATAGTCAAAAGCTGCACAGAAACCTCAAATCTTAAAAATTTTTATGTGAATTCTGCAAAAATAAGTAAAAAAAAAACTTTGCAAGTCCGATACAAAAATGGACTTAATTATGAAAGGTAGATATCTTAGAACAAAGAGTCTAAAATATCATCCAGTCGCTGAAATAAGCCCACTTTTTGAGTAACTCAAATCAGACCAACCACCGGAAGTTAATTTTTTTATTTCCTGGTCATAGGTTTTCTTCATCAAAAAATCATACTTTTAGTCCTATTTAATTTTTCCCTTGACCTCCGTCCTTCACAGAGTTTCGACTCTTTCAAATCAAAAATACATATGTCACCAACGACTGTTTACCATACCTGATTAATGGTTCCACAGATGAAAATACTAACAAATTCCGAAAGAATACTTAAACACAGATAATCCTAAAATACAGTAACAGCTTTCCATTTCTGTCAAATTCTCTTAACGACATCTTCCAATCCTCCGTAAAAAAACTTGGTGACAATTTATGCCTTACTAAAGGTACAAAGAAATAAAACTCCGCCTTGTTCTCGCTTCTCAGATGCAGAGAGAATCCTTAATCTCTTTTTTTTTTTCGTTAACTTCATGCCCGTAATGAGCCTCTCCTCCGCCTCCTCGATCAAAAGCAAGAAACATACAGCAATAAGGAGGCAAATGTTGGGGAGATGATTTTCACGGTTGAAGCCAGACTCAATTCCATATTTTTTCGACCCAAACATTCATGCAGAAAATGCTTTGGTACCGAAAAATGAACAAACTGCTCCCTAATTTCTACTATCCATTCCCACTTATATTCTGTGTCGTCAAGCCTAATATTCGGCAAACAGCTGCGACTTCTAATTTTGTACCTTTGTTTGAAATATAAATTTTACTTGAAGTAAAATATGACAACTGACGCTAGACGCTGTCAGAAGTCTTTAAAACTACCAAAACTACAATTTAAAAATTTACACATGATTTTTTCAAACAAAATTTTGAAAGTCACTAGAAGTGAAAAACCATGATTTAACCAAAAGATGCTTCTGATTCATTCTAAAGACCGTGTAAAATTGGGAATAAAATAAACTTAGTTTTCTTATGCATGAATGCAAGCTCCTCACTTATATAGCTGTACTGTCAGAAGAATGCACCTGAGCATAGCAGGATACAGTAGAAATGAGCATGGCAGGATACAGTAGAAATAACCGTGGAAAAAAAGTTTTGAAAAAATCTCTACCGACTAAAAGTCGGCGTCTCATTACGACTTCGAACTACATCAAAAAGGCTCAACCCATCCCGCTCATCACCTCATTTTGTACAGTCTTCCTCCACCCCTACAGGTATTTTCCATTGAACTTCAAAAACCAATTTTTTTAGAAAATTTCCAAAAGATACGCAGTTTTATCTGTTAAAATTTTTTAAAAACTAAAAAGGTTCAAAAGAAACAGTTTTAAACTAAATCAAACCTGTCCAACTTTTTCATCTTTGTAAGAGCGGAACTGTTTTGAAGCTTGCGCCACACGAAATAAACGACCCTTGAAACGATCAGACGCAAGTATCAAAGCGCTGGTATGCAAATGCTTTAAAGACAGTCGCCTACATGCTGAAAAGATTCATGCTTATAAGAATTCTCTATGCAAGCAATTCATATGAAACAAATCTACCTGTAAAAATAAAATTATAAATTGTAGTAACACTAACCACAGGAAAAAATCAAGTAAGACATCATTTACCACATTGCTACTGTCAGGTTTTCCAGCCCATTGAAAGGTATAAATTTGTATATTGAGGCAGCGATTAAAAACGATCTCTGCCTTAATACCTCTGCAAGGAATATCGAAGACTTAACAAGAGCCAACAGAAATAATTGATAAATCTGAACAGTCTAACAAAACGCAACCATTAATTAAAGAAAAAAAACGTGGTACTCAAATCCACTATAAAAGAATAAGATAATTAAAAGCAAAACAGAGTTGGCAAGCAATAGTAATTTCAAAATATGACTTAAACCAAAAAAAAAAAATCGCCTCTCTCTTACGTTGCGAGTCTACAAAACTTTCCAAAAAAACCAAAAATCTAACCAAAAAAATGTTAACTGCATTAAAGATTACCTTCGTGAACTTAGTTTATGTACAAAAGTTCCTCCTGTAAGAACAACTCAATAAGAAGACTTGGAAAAACAATGCGAAATAATGATGGCACTATTTAAAGATCATAGAATCAGAATTTTTCCAGCAAAATGGTCGAAAAAACTCCTTTCACATTCTTCATTCCCCCATGGATCTCTCTTTCGCAATAATGTAAAAAATTTTTGACTTCCACGTTCGACGTTGACGCGAACACAAAAATCAATCCAATGACAGCAGTGCCGCTACACACCATAATCAGAGCAAAGTTTTGTTAGTAAGTGAAAAAAATGTTTTTAAAGCGAAAACTGTGACGTCTCCAATGGAAAAATACTCTAAAAGAGAAAATGTAAGAAAAAAGAAACGGAGAATAAGACGTAGCAAAAAAAAAAAAAAAAAAAAAAAAAAAAAAAAAAA